GCAATGCAATTAAATCACATGATTTGCTTCGGAAAAAAATCAAGATGATTCAAATTGTCCAAACGTCAACTGAGAAACGAATGTCCCATTAATTAACAACTCTATATGAGTAATAAGTTACAGACCCCAAAGCAGTTATATTGTACAGTATTTCTTTGTTTTCCTGCTTTCAACAGAAATCTATTTACTAACTTACTACCACGTACAATTATGTTCGTTTTCATCAGTTGACAAAAATAAACTGCTTTTCTTTGCTTACAAGAAGCATTTGTTTTAAGTTAGAGCTGGTTGTAAATATTTAAGCAAACATTTACATCTTTTCCACCCAACAAATGGCAACTAAAGGAGTTTAACCTGTAACAAACTGCTTTGCACCAATGTTTGTGCTAAGTAGACCTGTCGTTTATTCAAGTTTTAAGAGATCTATGTACAAAAGCATCTTCATAACACATTGCTGAAAGCACGGCCACTGATGGTGGAACCCCCGGGGGGCACAAGGGACAAATAGGAGGCCGCAGCCAGCCGACCGGAGGCAGGGGTGGTGGAGTGGTAAGTAGGTCAGATAGGTAAGGAGGTGTGAGGGAATTAAGTGATTTGAAAACAAGTGAGGACCTCAAGAGGACTTCTCATAGGGCTTTACAAGATACACTGTAAAGTGTAGTCAGTGTGTGTTTTTTGGTGGGCAAACAACCAGGAAGTGAAGGTGCGAGGGACAATCAGGTGGTGGATTGGGGAGTGAGGAGGTCAGAGAGGTAGGGAGGTGCCAGAGTTAAGGGATTTGAACACGAGTGTGAGGATCTTGAAGTTGATCTGTTCAGTGATGGGGAGCCAGTGGAGCCTGACCAGAACTGATGAGATGTGGGCACAGAGTTTGGTTTGGATCAGTATGCGGGCAGCAGAGTTCTGAATGAGCTGGATCTTTTGAATAGTGGAGCTGGGGAGATCGGAGATGAGCGTGTTTGAGTAATCCACGTGGTTTCGGCTGCAGTTGGGGTAAAGTACAGTCAGAGGTGGGCAATGTGTGGGAAGTGGAAGAAGGTGGTCCTGGTCAGGGACCCGATGTGGGGGAGAAAGGACAGCTGGGGGTCGAACCAGACCCCTAGTTGCGCCCTGGTTCAGTGAGTCTGAGGGAGAGGCTGGGAAGGTTTAGGAGGTCAGATCCACAGGAGTGACAACGTTGACAGGAGCCAAGGAGCATGGCTTCCATCTTGTCCACATTCAGCTGCAGGAAGTTTGAACTCATCCAGGCCCTGATGTCTGCCAGACAAGCTGATAGAACATCGGTGAACCTGGAGTTGCAGCTGGAGGAGGCAAAGTAGATTTGTGTCGCCTCCGCATACATGTGGAAGTTTACCACGTGTCTGCGGATGACATCGCCCAGAGGGAGCATATAGATGAGAAACTTTAAACAATAATTGAGACAGAATATAAAAACTATCAACATTGATCTCTGAAGAATGCATTTTAAAAACCTGGGGGAGTGGGGGATAAATTAACAGGTCTCTAATATTTCAGAAAACACAAACCGTGTTACACACAATATGTACACAGCTACCATGATTACACTTGCTAAATTCTACATACATTTCCAGTTTGTCTTTTGTTTATTCAGCTTCTGATTGTTTAATCTTAATCAACTATTCGATGGAAGCCTGGTGGTCCGTTATTTGAATGCGTTTGTTTGCTTAAGAGGTTTACACTTTAAATGAAATCAGCAGCGACACATTAGACTGGTTGCCGATTGCTCAAAGGGGAAAGCAGAATATATTTTTATTTGGTAAATAATTTTGAAACAGTGTCAAATGAATTGGATGAAAAGCTTGAAATCTGCCCGCCCCACTTCTAGGCTAACACATTATAGAATGGCTAGTTGGGCAACATACATGAGGGGAGCTACCACCCGAGAATGAGTCAGTCCCTTAAAATCAGCAAAACAATTGGAGAGGCAGGGAGTAAAAATGTTGGATCCAGTTTGAATAATAACTAAGCACTGTTGCAATTTGTATCTGTACAATTATTAAAAATCCCACCTTTGTGTATTAACATACATTTCCTTCAAGCTCTCGGACACGAATTGCAAAATATTTTAAAATCAGCAACATTAAACACAAATAAACATGTCCCATTTAATGAGAAACAGATTGTGTCTCTGACTACCATACAAAAATCAGTGCGATTGCAATTCTAAATCTTTTTATTAAGAGTAAAAATATCTAAAACAAGGACCAGCATAATATGAGACAACACAGCATCTATTAGTAATTTTCCTAAAGCATTATTCTTAATGTTTCATTATCTCACTAAAAGTCCAGTCTTGTATCAAGAATAAAATGGACAATATACATAACAAATGGAATGGGTGGATTACAGATATACAAAGGGCACCTTGATTGTAGGATTGGACGCGTCAATTCAGGATCGCACACTGTAATTTTTCCCTTGACCATCTGTTGCTTTGCATCATATACTGTATAAAAGGTAACTTATTCTTTATTGCCTATGAATTCAAAGGTTAAGTTGAAGACATAGCTGAAGTGGTCAGCAAAGAAAAAGTGACTGATTTTGCAACAACAAGGAACCAAATGTGATGTGTACAATTACAAAACTAATAGGCATATTCTGACATGATTGTGCAGTTTGCCAAGACAAACGTGCACACAAAACTAAGAGCTAAAGTAGCTTGCATATATTATACTTGGGATAAAATTCATTTTAACTGACAAGCACAGAGAACATTTTAGAAGTAATGAATTTTATCCTCACAATTCATTTATGATAAAATTTCAAAAAGCGATGATACAGGACTGAAGTTTTCTGAAAGTGCCTCCATGAGCATTATCGTGCACCCGCATTATTTGTGTATTATTAAAAAGAATGTTAAAGATGCAGGTTTGTTTTATAAGCTTTTCAGCTTAACCCTTAAAAAAATATTTTAAAGTTGGTACTATTCCATCATACCAACACATATCAAAACCCTAGACTGTTAAATTATAATGACTACAGATTGATTAAGATAAATTTTACCAGCTTACTTTGAACTGTACAACACTAGTGGAGAACATGTATAACTTCAATATCGTATCACAGCAGAAGCCTCCTGTTGGAACACCTACGTGACAAACAGAATAAGTCATATGGTCCACTATTCAATATTCCAGGAAGTATTTTTTAAAATCTATAAAAGTAGCCAGCATAAGAAACCCAGGCCTTAATGGGAAACTCAGAAAAATAACAATAAATATCAGCGAGGCAGCAGGAGAGCCTGGGATATAAGGTACAAAAATCATTTTCTGGGTTGTAAAGGCTGGATATTTTCTCATAAATAATCCCACTTTAATTACTAAAAATGTGCCACCATTCCAACATCCAGCCACCCACCTACTGTCGTATTGTAATTTTTTGTTCCTATGCTAGCTAACTTTATAGCCTATTTGAAGGAAATGGTAATTCAGTCCCAATCTGATCAACCTCCGTAGAGTTTGCAATATAAAGCGAGGTTTGGCCCCTCAGTACAGCATGGATTCAACTTCACCTTCAGAGATGAAAGAAAGTGATCTAATGCAAGACTCCTACCAATTGAACATTTAAATATTTTGCTTTCCAAAACTAATACATTTCCTCTTTAGTCCACGCTTATTACTTATTTCATCATTATAATTCATTACACTGTTAAATACAGATTATGATTTAAAACGTGATTATAATCTCATAAAGAAAACTCAAATACTCAAAGGACTTATCTGTACAACTTCAAGTATTTGGAGAGGAGAAAATCGATTTTTAAAAATGGTAAAAGGCTTCACAGCTAAAACACAACAAACATTGCAACATTTACACTTATCCATTTATGTGCACGTTTTATCTCAGTTGATTAATACCAGTGTTCTTTTCATTGGTCAACCATTATATTTTGGATTTTTTTAAAAAATTACATGCAATTCTTTAAGCTCTTCTGAATAGATTCATCTCCGGGTGGTGCATTCAAGTATATTTGGCAATTATTTTTTTCCACCACACTGATATGATAAAAACTAAAAGGTAAGAGATCAATACTAAACAAGTCAATCTTTGCAGTAGTTGCTTGAAGATGCATCATGATCAATTTTCATTAAACTAGCCAGACTCGGTAGAAATCGTAAACCAATTATAAACTGCAGAAGTCAATGTGAGACAACAAGAGTAAAATAGAGACTGCGTCTAACAACCCAGGATGTAGACAGTAGAGTGGAGCTGATGAGCTATCTAATAGTAATTTACAATCCCATATATTAATATAGATTTGTTTAGGAAGAAGTGATACTGTAATTTGCCATCATCATTGGAGATAACCATACATGCTGATGAGGATTGTTAAACCTTGCCATAAGGGGAAGAATAGTCATCACAACAATGCCACCGATTATAATATACATTTGGGCAGTGAATGAGTGAAGTGCAAAAGTTATTCATCAATAACCCAAATGTGCCATATGGTTAATAAATACTTAAGAGAGAATAATTGGTACAATACTGCCACCAGCATATCATTCTGCCTACCCAGTGAATCGGTGAAAGAATACAGCATATTAATTTAATGCACCACTGTCACCAATTGGTTAGTGCCCGGCCCATTGCAATATTGTGATCAAATGCGTAATGTGTTCTGAGGTCACTAAATTAATGAACTGTGTTCTATCCCGCCTTACACAAGTAACATGCCACCTGTTCAGTGAGTGAAATGCTCCCAAGCAAAGCTTGGATGACCTATTGGATCTTATTTAAACCATCAAACTTTTTTTAAACCGAGTCCAGTGTCCTGACCTTGATGGCCCTTCCTCATAACTGATTCCAGCTGTTGATTACCGTCTGTGCTAAGAAAATACTTCCTTATTTATATCCTAAATCATTCACAACCTTAAACCTGCCTCCTTATTCTGGTAAAGCAACTTACACATAATAATCCTTGCATTTGGTACAGCGCCTTCTCATCTTGTTGAGACATCTTAAAAGTGCTTTACAGGATATACTGTAAAGTGGATTGACTATATATTTTGTGGGAAAACTTGGGGATCAACATTCTTGCTTTCTCCTGAACCATCTCTAGGGCCTGGATGTGACCATGCTGGGCAGATACTGAGTGTCTTTACATTTACTAAGATTCAGACTCCAACTTTAACCCTTCCATAACTAGAAAAAATAAGTACTAGCAACAGTGCTAAGAACAAATAAGAGTAAAGTATAGCGATAAAAGCAAAGTAACAAGCTGAAAATAAATGAAAATACAGTTAATACTCCATACAATAGAAGAAGAATATGGGAATCCACAGATATGCATACACCCGTGGATTCCCATGCTCTTGTCTAACCTGCTCACTAGTTTACTGAAAAGGACCATTATGGCAGAACAAGTTATCCAGCATTACAAATGCAAGATTGTTTCACTCTCAATTCCTTATCTTTGGACTTTCTTTACCAGAGAAATAGGTATCGATTAATTCACCAACATGTACTGTCCATAGTGCTCCGGGACGCTAGCCTGCGTGAAGGGTGCTATATAAATGCAAGTTGTTGTTGCTGAATGATCAATCAAAGAACTAGGTAAATTCACTGAGTCAGCTTCATTTCTCAAGCTTTGTAGATGCCCATAAATGTGGTTTGTTATTCACTGCCATCCCAGTTGAGAAGGTAAGCCAGGTTGCAGGGAATATGGGGTTCCTGGTGCAGCTGGATAGCATGCAAAACCATTGCCCTGAGCTGGAAAACTGTCCATAGTTGCAGCCGAATGTGCCTGAACAAAGGATCAAAGACATGCAATTACTATAATTAATCAGAGAACTCGAAGTTATCAGATTCTTTACCAAGTGTTCTTACTTCTCTTGACAATGATCTTTTCTATTTTCCCTTTGAACTTTTAAATTATTCAGTAGAAGTTTTATAAGACACCCATGTCTCGTTACATCATAAGGTCTGACCTGGGCCAATAGAAAAGTGCGACTGCAAATTTTCTGTGGAATACACTATAAACTCCCTCCGCTACACACACTCCTCTTCCACTACACATATACACCCTGGTCCGCTACAAACCTGTAAAAACAGCCTCCACCCACAGCTGATGGCTAGTTACTCGACACCACTACTATGGACAGAGTGGCTCCGGACACACATGCACTCTGCGAGTAGGAAATGAGCTTTGCTCACCCCAAGGCCCCGCTGTTGTGATTGTTTGTGTCTCTCTCTCTCCTCTGTACTTGTGTGTGAGTGTGTGTCTGTCTGTGTGTCTCTAATTTCTGGCAAGTATTTCCGCAATTTTCTATTGGCCCTGGTATTTGTAGTCAAGTAACATCAGGAAAATCATTGGAAACATGCCAATCTAACTGGTCTCCAGTACAGAAGTTAACCAACACTATCCTACCACACCTTTGCAATGTTTTCAAGAGAAATGGATCAAACGGGTCCCATCCATCTACACTTTCATTATATGAGCAAAACTTTACCAAAAAGATGAAGATGGAAAATATTAAAATTGGAGCATGACCAGGAAAAAAACAAGTTTGACTCTACAGCTTAGTACCTTTGTGATGAACTTACTCATTGAATATTTTCCACAATGAGCACTTATATTATTACAAGCTCTATTTCTCAGTCACCACAGAAGCAAAATAAAATAGGGCCTCATTTCATCTCACCTGTAGTAATGCTGACTGTACAGCTACAGAAGACTGCAATCCAGATAGAGATGCTGCACCAATGGTGGTCTGAAAGCCTGGTAAAGATGAAGGACCCACAGCAGATTGGAGACCAGGAAGAGACACAGTGCCCATAGCAGACTGCAGGCCAGGCAGAGAGGTGGTACCTGCAGTTGACTGGAGACCAGAAAATGAAGCCGTACTCACAGTGGGCTGGAGACCAGGGAGTGACGGACTACCCACTGCAGACTGAAGTCCAGGTAAAGAGGCAGCACCTAAAGCAGATTGAAGAACAGGCAGAGACGAAGCAGCAGCCATGGCAGACTCCAGACCAGGCAGAGACGAAGCAGCCACAGCAGACTGGAAACTAGAAAGGGATCCAGCAGCTGTAGTAGACTGCATCACAGGTAAAGAGGCAACAGAATGAAGCCCAGAAAAAGACCCAGGAGACTGCAATCCAGTGAGAGAAATAGCAGCAGATTGGGCTCCAGCAGCAGACTGGGCTCCAGTAACAGACTCAGTATCAGCCAGAAGGGTTCCAGTAGCAGGCTGGGGATCAGCTTGAAGTGATGCAGCAACAGGCTGGGCTGCAGTCAGAGAGGCTCCAGCAACTGACTGGGATTCAGCGAAAGAAGCTACAGCAGCAGACTGACCTCCAACATGAGGGCCTGCACCAGGAGCTGACTGAATTCCAGCAAGTGATTCTGCATTTCCCCCATTAGATTGGAGCTGAGAGAGAGGGGAAGTATCTGCAGCAGACTGGACAAGAGAAGCAGCAACAGACTGGAGTCCAGAAACAGAGGAAACTGACTGAAATCCAGACATTGATGCAGCAATCATGCCAGCCTGAAGTGCAGACAGAGACACAGTGGCCCCTTCAGAAGACTGAAGTCTGGCCAATGCTACAGCAGCCTCTGACGACTGAAATCTAGCCATTGTAGCAGCCTCTGAAGACTGAAGTCTGGCCAATGTTGCAGCCGCTTCTGAAGACTGAAACCCAGCTAATGTTCCAGCAGTTACAAGAGACTGAAGACCAGGCAGGTTTGAAACGGTCATTCCAGCCTGAAGTGCAGACAGAGATGCAGTGGCTCCAGAAGACTGAAGTCTAATCAATGTTGCAGCAGCCTCTGAAGATTGAAGTCTAGCCAATGTTGCAGCAGCCTCTGACGATTGAAGTCTAGCCAAAGTTGCAGCAGCCTCTGATGATTGAAGTCTAGCCAAAGTTGCAGCAGCCTCTGACGATTGAAGTCTAGCCAAAGTTGCAGCAGCCTCTGAAGATTGAAGTCCAGCTAATGTTCCAGCAGTTGCAATGGGTTGAAGTCCAGGCAGAGTTGTAGCACTCATTCCAGTCTGCATTGCAGACAAAGATGCATTAGCCCCAGAAGATTGAATTCCACCCAAAGTTACAGCATTTGCAACAGACTGAATTCCATGTAGATTTGAGGATGTCATTCCAGCTTGCAGTGCAGGTAGAGATGCGGGAGATATGGACTGATTCTGGGTAAACATGGATATTCCTGGGAAAGATACAAGACTTGGAAAGGAGGTGGTCACTGATGAAGATGTGCCAGACGTGGGACATTGCTGATAGCCTGAAGTTGAACTGAAACGATTAAAATAAAAAGAAATTACTCAAAAAGCTAAGTAAATAATCCTTGCATTTGGTATAGCTTATTAGTACATCGTCAAGATACCTAAAGAGCTTCACTTGATTTATTGTAACTGTGTATTTTAGGCAAATGTGGCAGCCAATTTGCACACAGAAATGCCCAACAAATGGCCATGAACTCAATTTTTTTTTTAAATCTAGGGGATTATTAGCCAAAGCACAAAGAGAAATTCTATTCTCTTTTTGAGTAGTGCCATGGGCTCTGCTGGTACCTCTAACCCAGCACCGCATTAGAGTACGAGTCTAGACTGTGAGTTCAAAGTTCCGATGTAGGGATTTAACCAACAATCTTCCGACTCAGAGGTGAGATTCAGTCATTGACTCAGAGAGAGCCAGACTGCCATAACAACAAATTACATTTGAAAAGCGCCTTTCACATCAGGAGGACGTCCCAAGGAACTGGACAGACAGGGATCTTCACCAGAGCTGGTGGTGGGATCAGGAGGTGTGGAGGGCACGGAGGGTAGGATTAGGAGGGTGACCAAAGGCACAATCAAAGAGGGGGGTCTTGAGACAGATCTTGATGGGAGGCAGGGGAGAGGGCAAGGTGGATGGCCTGTGGGATGGATTTCCAGACGGTGGGGGCAGAGAGACTGAAGGCCTGCCCGCCAATGGTGGGTTAAGTCTGAGGATGTGAAGCAGGCTGGAGCCCGCTGAGGGGAGAGGTTGGAGGTTCTCTTTGACCGAGCCTTCAGCTCCCCTCTCGACTCTCTTCCCCCTCCTCGCTCCCTCCCTTCCCTCCCCTCACCCTGACCATTCCCCCCTCCTCGCTCCCTCCCTTCCCTCCCCTCACCCTGACCATTTCCCCCCTGCTCGGGTCATGACCCAACTGTGCAGCGCCTTGGGACGTCCTCCTGACGTGAAAGGCGCTTTATAAATGGAATCTTGTTGTTGTTGTTGTTGGAAGGGGTTAGAAGGTCACAAAGATAAGGCGGAGCAAAGCCGTGGAGGGCTTTGAAGGTGAGGACCAGGATCTTGAATTGTATCTTCTGAGTGATGGGAAGCCAGTGGAGTCGTGCGAGGATGGGGGTGATAGGATCACAGAACCTAGTGCTGGAGAGGACACAGCTGCAGGTTTCTGGATTATCTGCAGCATGTGAAGGTAGGAGTTGGGGAGGCCGACAATCAGTGAATTTGCAATTTAAACTGCCAAAATCCCAAAGGCAATGCATTCTAAAACTATATGAGAAAGAACTAGTTACTATAATCTGATATTAACCACCCTTTTACTGAAGATAGTTTTCGACAGATGAAAAGGAACCAAAATTCTTCATGGTCAAAATTTTAAAATTAGAACAGTATGAATTTTAAAAATTGTTAAATTCAATCTTAATTCTGAAGGCAGTTTTCCAAAGTTTTTTTTAAAAACTTCAGAAAGTTTCCAATTAATAATAAATTTAAGAATCCATAAATATGGAATCTATTTGAAATTTCCCCAAATCCCACCATCTTAAATTTTAAGACCTGTCTTAAGCAAAGACTGAAAATTATTACTAGTAATATGGATATGATCCACATTAAGAATGTAGCCATTTATTATATGTTTTTATTTGCAATATTTCACAATGGTTGTACAGAATAAAAGAATGGACTTACCCAGTGTGTTGTATCATAACAGGGCTACAGTTCGCATTGCTAAACCCTGGAGTGACTGTGCCCATATTTCCTGATGTTACATCGCCATGAGGCTGCGATACATGGTGTACCATTGATGCCATGCTTGTAGGGGTCTGGCATCCAGGGTAGGGAGGGGGTGCAGGGGTGCCAGAAGGTGTGGTTGAAGAAGGATGAGCTGAGAAAACAGACGGTACTGGAGTGGATGTGCCAAGCCTCGAAAAGACTGGAGTATTTGGTGCAGAAGGAAAAGCCATAGGATTGACTGGTGATTGTGTAGGGGCTGCGGCAGGTGTTGAAGGAGCTGATGGGTAGGAGCCGTGTGGCGAGAATGGAGCTGAATGTAAATTTGGAGCAGGTGAGTTGTAACCCAGTTGGCTGGGAGGTCTGGAATAAGCTGAATAGAAGAAAAAGAGAAGCTTCTTTCAATCAAAGCATGAAATATTGATAATAGTATACACTGCCTTCCTTTAGTTTCTTTCTTTTACCATTCTTTTCTAATCTCAGGAATACAAGGAAAACCATGAAATCATTCAGTCACCAGATTTTAAAACACAATAGATAAATAGGAACGTACTGCTATTGTAATTGTTTGAATCCGACAAGCAGAACGATATCCCCGCCCACCCAAATTCTGGATACTATTTAAGCCGAAAGTTTACTGTGCTTCAATTTTCCTTCCCTGTATAGTATTATTCATCCCGTCGAACCTGTTCCACCAGTTTACAAGATCTTTGGCAAATCTTTTAATGTCCTGCCCTTTCGCAGTATCTACCTGGGGTAGAGTGTCCCACATCCTATCTGTTGTGACCTCAGTTGTTTTGGTTCTGATTTTAAGGTTATGCCTCAACTCCCCCTGTAAGAGATCCCTCTACCAGAGGGAAGAGTTGTCCACTATCTAACCTGTCAGTTCCTTTCATTATTAAATATCTGCATCAAATCACCTCTTCCATATATATATATATAAAAAAAACAATAATAATATAATCATTCAATCCACAACTGTTTTTGGGGCACTGCTGTGCGTAATTCGCAGCCACATTTTGCTCACAAAATAGACAATTAACTTTACAGTATATTCTGTGAAGCACTTTGAGACGTCTCGAAGACGTGATAAGGCACTATATCAAATGCAAAGATTATTATAATATATATAACCCCAGATTTGCATCATAGCTCAATCATTTCAACTCAGGTATTGACATAATGAATCATCGCTAGAAACATCATCTAATCTAAGATCAGCTGCCAAAAATTGAACACAACACTCCAACTGAGGTCTGTCCAGCTCTCTAACTGGAGCATGCTAGCACCCACTTTTATACTCCAGATCTTTTTTGTTTGTGGCAGAGAATATTGCAATCACCTGTACAAAAGAAAATTCTCTTTCTGACCCCCAACCACCACCCCCCCACAACCCCATTCCCACAAAATACAGTCAATTCACTTTACAGCATATCCTGTGAAGTGCCTTGGGGCATCCTCCTGACATGAAAGGCACTAAACAAATGTAATTTTGTTATTGTTGTTATTGTCAGTCGGAAGATAATATATCATGAAACAAAATTAAGAATGATTTAAAGAAAATTCGTTAAATCATCTATCACTATGCCAATTAATAAAAAATTCTAGAGGGTAAAATTCAGAACTGCACATTAAGTGATCATTTCTCACCCACTATTTTCTCTGCCCTCTTATTCGTCCCCTTAGAACTGAGCAGGCCACAGAGATCTCTAACAGCCATTCCAATCTTTCTACATGGTTGACCCATCAAGAGTCATGAGCAGGGAGGTAAGGAACCTCTTTTCAGCAAAGATGTAATTTCCTTAGGTCATCTAGCATAGTTGGTGAAACTTGTCTCTTGGGAAAGCTAAAGCGAATCAGCAATTCCAACAAAGGTCTCTGAGTTAGAGGTCTGATGCTTTTAGGCTACAGATATTTAGACATGTGAAACTTGATGTGGAGTTCTGTAGTTTAGAGGTTAGCACACTCATCTCACAAGCAAGAAGACTTGGGTTCAATTCCCGGGCAAAGCGAAACATTGGGCAAGATTCCTTAGTCCACACGCCTATTTACTTAGCAGTAAGTAGGAACGTAGTTTGTTATTCGATTGGCAGATCGCTTTTCCGGGAATAATCCCTTCAAAAAATGTTTTTTTTTTAAATGATTTGGTCACTCAATCTACAACTGTTTGCTGTGCGCAATTGGATGCTGCGTTTCACCCAGAAAATATACAGTCAATTCACTTTACAAGTGCATTCTGTGAAGCGCTTTGATACATCTCAAAGATGTGATAAGGTGCTAATCAAATGCAAGTAATATTATTCACTTGAATATAAAATGGGCATTAAAAATGTTTCACATTTTCCAGTTAAAGAAAAATACTTAAATTGTAGGTAAAAATTCTATGCCTAGTGGTTAAAGGCAATGTAGCACTAAAGCACAAATAACAGATCATAGAATTGATTCTAAGCCTTTCTCTTTCACACACACATACACATTAGCTGGGAGGATGCTGCAAGTTACCTTAGTGTTCTAGGACTAGACTTCCTCTTGAACTCTCATAGGCTATAAAGCTTGCTATATCTCACTACCCGCTGATGTCAAAAAGAGCCATATGCTAGTAAGTGTCAGCCCTTTAGGAGAGGAAGGGAGAAAAGGAAGATTTTTTCTAACAAGAAACTGTTCAAATATTCAATATTTGTAGCTCAGTGATAAACTACAATAGTTATCAATAAATAGCCATCTAAGTGCCTTTACATGAAACAGTTTGAATATCTGCCCCTTTAGTTTTTCGATGTAATGTATGTAATGAGAGGCTGTACATTGTCAAAAGTTGTCCTGACCTTGTTGAGGAGCATAGGAAGGTGGTGGTACAGCAGAAGCCATGTAACCTCCCATTGGGACCAGACCAGCATTGTTATATGCACCTTAAGAAAACAAATAAAAATGGCTTGTAATAGACAATAAAACAGACTTTTTTTTTTGCATCAGATTCAAGAGGCATATTTTACATCATCATTCACAAGTCATAATAATAATCTTTGCATTTGATATAGCACTGTTCACGTTTTCTCAAAGCGCTTCACAGAATATACTGTAAAGTGAATTGATTGTATATTTTGTGGGCGAAACGCAGTAGCCAATCGCACACAGCAGTGTCCCAACAAAGGAGGGGAAGGGGGGTGACCGATGGCATGGTCGAAGAGGAGGGTTTTGAAGCGGGAATTGAAGGAGGCTAAGGAGGAGGTTAGGCGGAGTAATTGGGGAATTGAATTCCAGAGTTTGGGGGCAGAATGGCTGAGGGCTTTCCCGCCAATGGTGGGACGGGTGGGTCAGGGGACGTGGAGCAGGCCGGAGCCGGCTGAGCAGAAGGAGCGGGCGGGTTGGTAAGGGGTTAGGAGGTCGCAGAGGTAGGCGAGGCCATGGAGGCCTTTGTAGGTGAGGACCAGGATCTTGAACTGGATCCTCTGAATGACAGGGAGCCAATGGAGTCGGGCGAGAATAGGGGAGATGGGGTCACGGAGTTTGGTACAGGAGAGGACACTGGCTGCAGAATTCTGGATTATCTGCAGCCTGTGGAGGGAGGAGTTGGGAAGCCCAACAAGCAGGTCCTTTGCACAGTCGAGCCTGGAGGTGATGAAGGCATGAACAAGAGTTTCAGTGGCCTGAGGGGTGAGGTAGAGGCAGAGTCGGGTGATGTTACGGAGGTGAGGGAAGGCAGAGCGGGTCATGGCTTGGATGTGGGGAAGAAAAGACAGTTGAGGGTCGAACAAGATACCTAGGTTCCTAGCTTGGTGAGTTGTAGTGTGCAACTCGCTTGCAAGGCGAGTGCTCTAACCACTGAGCTACAGGACTCCATGTTCTATATGCAAAACACATTTTCAGGCATAAAAGGTTTCTAAAGTACTTTTCCAAATGAATAACAAGCAACTTTGAAAGACTTAAACACAAAGCTATTGTGAGCACCAGATGTTTTCATTTCCACGCACGTGTGCACACACACACACATTTATTCTTATTTACAGTTTGCAGGCAAAACCCAGCATGCTTATTCTCATATAATTTTCTGTTGTATCAACCTTTGGCATTGCATTATAGCCCAGCTCACTAAAGTAAACCAAAACGAAGGAAAATGCAAATAAAAGTCTTACTTGGTGCAATAGTTGCATGTGGCTGGCAGGGAGGTATAGGGTAAGGGACAGGTTTATGAGGATTGTATGATTTTGGAGCCTAAATGAAATTGAAAGGAAAATTAAGTATAATACACAACCAATTCCTTTGATAGATTAAAACTGTAAGAATAACGATTCACTTAAATTGATAATTTTTAAAGACAATATTATGCAAAATAACGTGGAAAATATGATTAAAGATCATAATATTTCAATTAAGTGCCTAAACTAAAGATAAATGTTAACCTAAATGGCACTAAACAGTCTTAAGAACCAAAAGATTTTCCTGCAGAATTAGAACAGGATGTTGCAGTACATTTATAAATTAATTTAGTTAATCTGCGACATAAGTTTAATAGATTTCCTGACACAATCTTTCAATACAACAGTATAAACCAGATGTGTTGAACTGAAACCTAAACATTGAACTAACCCCAACGAAATAACATTAGCATTCAATCAATTACAACTTTCATCTGAGCTCCGGGAGATGCAGTGGACTAGCTTCTTCTGGCCCATTTGCAAAATCAGGATCAAGTAGTGAAATAGATCTGTGGCAAACATAGGAAGTTGCTGAGGGGAGGGAGGGCTCCGGCCTATACTGACCTTCTCTAAGCCCCCTGGAGGCACAGGTAGCTTCACAGTGGGCATATCTATTTGCCAAGGCCCCTCACGAGGACCTAGATTAAGCAGCTAGTTCGGAGTAAGCCTGATAAGCAGATAAGTTGCCCTGTAAAGGTCCTACCACAACCCTGAAGGCAGATGTCCACCAGATAGCTGATGAAACTCTGAACCCTGGGTCAACAGCCGCTGGAAGGCGTTACCCGGAATCCGTATTCGTGAACCTGCGTTTGTACATTCAGCGCCTGGAACCAACCTTGATTGGCTTGCAATGGGAAGGGATGAGCATCCGAGCTAGGGACAGGAAGATGGTAGCAATGATCTCACGCATTTCATGCTGAGCTGTGTTGCTCATCAGGAAACTTGCAGGTAGTTCCTGGTACCTACAATTCACCTGGTGAGGGCTCAAACTTGTCAGATGTCAAATGACCAATTAGTGACTATCCTCCTTGGGCAGCGGGTCGGGGAAAAGAGAGGGAGGTAAGTGGGGATTCCTTGCAGCTGAATTGACTCCAAGATTAGACTGCATTTTATTATAAAAATGCTAAACTGATGTATTCCTTGGTTAGAATTGTTTCAACTTTCTTTAAATGTATTGGGCCCCAGCCCCACCAGATTACAATTATGCCTCTCATGTTGTAACATATTCTCAACAACTTGTATTTATTTAGCACACATTACACAACAGAGCGCTGAACTTTCTGGAACTCCCTCTTCAATCCCTCCATATTGCTTCCCCTTTCTCAGTCTTCAAATCATACCTGAAGACCTTCCTCAACTGTGCCTCAGTTACCTTCTCTCTTGGCATCAAACCACACCACTGTTAAGCACTCGGAGATGCTTCTCACGTGAAGGGTGCTTTATAAATGCAAGTAGTTGTTGTTGAACAAAGCAAATAAATAACCAGAAAGAACTACATTTCAAAGAGCCACCATGCAAAAAACGTAAGTTTGAGAACCAGAATGAGGATTTATATAATCTATGTGTCTAACATTGTTATGCTAGGAATTTTGCCACCAAGCTTACTGGTTTAGAAGGTCCAAGGATGCAGGTTGCAATCCCTTTGCCACCACTGTAGGCATCTTCATTTTCTTTTTTAACCGAAAGAACCTGGCACAAAAATATTTTGTTAGCATTTCCTTTTTATAAACAGACGCATACAACGTAGAATGCTGCGTTACGGGACTAATGATCGATCCCTTTGTCTTTCTTCACACGACTTGGCAGTACACATCATACAAAAATCTCTCTCAGGCAGGCATTTGCAAATGCAACTGAGAATAAATCAATAGAAATAGATCAACAGCAACTGGAATCACTATCTCTTTCCACAGGGAAGCATCAGGCTTGCACTCGGTATCTTTCTTGCTGCAGAGATAAGATGGGGAATTCTGTATGCATAGGACCAGAAGCATGAAACATGCTCTCCTGCTCTACCGTAAAGCAAAGTAGAACTTCATCGGTCCTGAAAATTTTGATAGCCGAGATGGAAACAAGAGTTGTAGTATTACTTGAGAAAGATGCAAATTGACTAGTCATTACCCCAATTAGCAATATGTCTGTTCCGCTATGACTCTTAGTCTTTTGAGAGGGAAAAAGTTACAAGCTTAAAGCCATTATATTTGTCTTCAACACAAAACAAGAGGACGCAGACTTAGTGTTACAAAGGGCAATTTGAGAACAGACCCCAGGAAGTTTCTTTTTTACCCAGAGTGTAATGTTGCCAGGAAAGGTGGTTGAGGCAGTACAACAGACACATTAAAACTTGAAACTGTGACAGGAGGACAGTAGTGTGTGTTCTAGAAGAACAAGATAAGATGAGCTGAAGGGCTTTTTTTCATCCAAAGCAATCTTGTCAACTGTCAAAGAAAATCATACTTACAGCTAACAATCCATTTAATACACTGGGTTTACCCTTTGGGTAGGGATTTCCTGGGATCATTCCACATGATGTTATCATGGCAAGAGGAGCCTTACAGCCAACCTTGGAAGCCTGGTACAACAAGAATTAGGATACGAACAGAGAAACTCAAGCTATATATTTCACGTAGAGGAAGCAACATTGCAATTACAACATTCAGATAGTACATCACGTTCAATTTCATGGATAGGCTAATCACTTAAGATGCATCCTGAAGAAAAAAAGCTTTTGGAAAAACAAATAATAAAATTAAGTAATATAATTACTTAAGTAAAATTAAGTAATATAACTTAAATTTTTAGATAGAACAATTGTGACAGAGAAATATATAAACTTCACAGAGGTAACTGCTTGTTGGTAGGTTTACCAACCTTGGTGGCAAGTAGACATTCTTACGGTTGCTAAATTTTAATGACAGAGAATAAACCATATGCTAAACTCCATTATTCTTACGCCAATAATAAATGTAATATTTCTGTATTTGATTAGTGTCTTTCACATCAGGAAGACATTTCGAAGCACTTCACAGGGTATACTGTAAAGTGTGGTGACTGTGTATTTTGTAGACGAATGCAACAACCAATTTGCACACTGTAATGTCCCACAAACAGCCATGAAGTGAATGGCCAATTTTATTTGGGGGATTGTTGGCCAAGACAGTGGGACAAACTCCATTCCCTTTTAGTGCCATGCGATCTTAAACATCCATCTGACAAGGTCAATGAGACCTCGTTTAACATTTCATCTGAGACCTCTGACAATGCAGTGCTCTCCCAACAGTGCACAGTGTCCAAGTGTCAGCCTAGGTATAAAATGTGAATTCAAAGTACCAACGTGGGACTTGAACCCACAACTTTCCCACTTCAAGTAAAGAGTGCTATCAATTGAGCCATGCTGCTACCAGTAAGGGAATATTTTAGTATTTCTTCACAAACATTTGTTCATTTGAAAATAAACGGTTTATATTTTTCCTACAACAATCTCATCAGTTTGAAAATGTATAAATGCTTACTTCCCCCCCAATGTTAAATGATCAGTTGATAAATGCACTGCTTTGTGTTGAAATGAGCTACACACAGCATCAACCCATATAAAAGAGGGTGACAGGAGCTGACTGATGAACTTGGATAATCGTTAGGTCACTTTGTAAATGGCTCGGTACACTTGATATTAGTCCACAGTAGATATCACCTACATGATGCATCTAGTTTTAAACAATATAAAGATTCAGGAAGACATCAACTGTTATATAATTATAACTGCAAATCATTCAATGGATAAGGTCAAAAATATTGCTGCAATAAAATTGAAAGTTAACCTGATCAAGAATTCGTTTGCATCGCTTCTTTTCTGGTAAATATACACGGAACATATCTTCAATGGGACGATAATTATGAGGATCAATGATATTCCTACCAGGAAAAAATATTTATTAATCATGTTTGTAATGTCTACCAAAACTATTATCCCAACAGAACACGTTATTATTTGAAAGAAATACTTGTATTTTTACAGTTCTTTATCATATCAAAATGCTTCAAAACACTTTCCAGTAATTACTATCAAGTGCAGTGACTATCTGTAGTCAAATGCAGCAGCCATTTTGCACACATCAAAGTCCTATAAACAACTTGAACCCAATTGTTATTCCCCTTTACCGCTATAATTCAAAGTCCACAAACTAAATCTGAGGTTCTTATAGCTGAATTTGGAGCCAAATTGAAGGACCTTTAATATCATAAGGAATTGGGAAAATAAATGGCTATTCAACATTTCTAACTTGTCTGTTTTGCAAGTCAGGAATCAGCTGTAACAGACCATTTTATGGTTCAGAATATAGTAGCAATAAAGATAATATTTGCATAGAGCCCTGAAACATTACTATTTTAGAGAATGATACAGGGCCTTACTGATGGGAAAACATGAACTGTGGCAAGGAAAGTACATATTATAGTAAAATGATGATATACTTACAATGCTATTAGCTCCAAGGCAATGAGTCTATCTTTACTGAACGTGAGGCAATTGAGGATACTTATTACTTTAGAAACGTGGATAGCTACCATTTTCTGGAAAAAGAAAATGAAGCAAGATAAGTGGTATTGGCCTATTTAATAAAAATTGATCATTAACACTCAATTTAATTAAATTGTCTAAAGATCAGCAGCATACCTTACACTGCAATAAACTTTAAACCTTATCTGATCACACATTTCTGAAAAACAAGTCATTTAACAGTAACCAACATAGGCAAAGATGTTTGTAATACTTACATGCTGTAGAGCTTTAAGTGCTTTCAACTGAGGCTCTGCCCAAGAAAAATACTTCAGGAGTTCAGCTACCTGCAAGAAAGGTTTTGATTCAATTCTATAGCAACTCAAACAAACATGCAACACTGACTTTTCTTCCTCTATCATTTTTTTTTGAAAAAACACAGGAAGAGAATCACTGTTATTGTTATTACTATTCAATAACCCATTTAATAAATACTAATATTTTCAATCTTTCCCAGCCACAATTTTTTAAAGACATCATAGAACTTCAATTTGATTTACAAACAGTTCCATGCAGAGCACAATACCTTCCAGGCTAGGGTTTAAAGAAACGGTGCCTTAGGTCTAGGATGTGGCATTTCATTTTATACATATTAAAAGACAATACCTGTTCACTTGAGAAATATCCATGTACATATTCAACAGCCTTTAGTTTATGCTCAGTCAGAACACCCTGAATGGAAACAAAGAAAATACATGATATTTAGTTTTAACACTCATTTTCACAAAACATGGCTACTGGCTTGCAATGCAACAGGTGCAGTTTCTGCTGAATCATGAAATTTATAATGGGATTTTTGCTTTTTAGCATTGGTTTTAATTTAACTTCTTTTAAAATTTTCTTTAATTTCTTTTTATCAAACAATATATCAAAATGCAACAGTGAATACCATCAGCTAAACAATAACATTACTGAGGCTTTGTTTAAAGGCTTTCTTTAACCTCCTTTTAGCCTGGTAAAACAATTTCACAAATATTGCCTCTTCAAGTGAAACATAAAGTAACACTGGAGGTAACAATATATTTATTGATAAATAAGTATCTGTAATTAAAACTACCCCATAATTTATAAGGTTATCCAATATTTTTAAAAATGTTGTCTACAAAATACAGTCACCACACTCCACAGCAGATCCTGTGTAGCACTTTCAAATGTCCTCAGAATGTGAAAGGTACTGTTTCAAAATCAAGGATTATTATTATTATCACTAGGCATTTCAACAGCCTGGTTAAGACAATACCTGTTCACTTGATTATTGGTTTAACCTGAGTTAAGATGGCAATGTAGGATTTCACAAAAGACAGCAAAAAGCTAGGGGTAAAGATATTTTGACATCAAATTTCTTAACATATTCAAGACTGAGATTGATAGATTTTTAAAAACTAAAGGGATTAAGGGATATGGGGATAGGGCAGTTAAATGGAATTAGGTTAGAAGATCAGCCATGATCTTATTAAATGGCGGTCCGGGCTCAAGGGGCCGAATGGCCTACTTCTGTTCCTATTTCTTATGTTCTTAAATTTAAATAAGAAAGCACTATATCAATAATAATCCTTGCATAGCTCCTTATCACGTCTTCAAGATGTCTCAAAGTGCTTCACAGAATATACTGTAAAGTGAATTGACTGTATATTTTGTGGCAGCCAATTGCGCACAGGGGTGTCCCACAAATAGTCATGGATTGAGTGACCAAATTATTATTATTATTTTTTGAAGGAGTTATTACCCCCTGTATAGGGTAGGCTAATCGCCAAAAAAATCGACTATTTAGTGTTGGTAAACAGAGGAGTGTGGATTAAGGAAACTTGCCCAATGTTTTGCCCTGCCGGGAATCGAACCCAGGTCTCTCACTTACGAGGCTAGTGCTCTAACCACTGAGCTACAGGACTCCATTTCTGGAAACTCTGTTAAACACCTGCTTCAAAAACTACACAGAGATGCAATAAAGTTGACAAACAGCAGTGAATGGTTAGAAGAGTTTCTGTTAACAAAATTTACTTACCACCTTAGGGGTTGCAGTATAACAACAAATAACAGATTTACATTTGTATTGTACCTTTCACATCAGGAGGACATAACAAAGCACTGGATAGTCAAGGGTTTGCACCTGAACTGGGGGTTGGAATCGAAAGGGGTGGAGGGCAAGAGGGGTGTGGATGTGGGAAGATGACCGAAGGTACAGTCAAAGAGGCAGGTTTCAAGACGGGCAGCAGAGGGTGTTAATTGTGCTGGAAGAACTATGATAGTGAGGTTGGCCAACAGGGATCCTTTCTCTCCTAAAGAGAAGCTTGATGGGGAGGGACTGTTATAGGGATGTTTACAATTATAAAGGGTTTGAGCAATGTGTTTGTATTGTTGAGATCACAGAACCCCAGCCAGTTTCAGCTGGGGCTGCTCTCACTACTGCCATCAGACAGTTGTGGGTTCAGGCCCCACACCAGGTCTATAAATTCAGTTTTGGCTGACACTCGAATACAGTGCTGGAGGCTGCACTGACAGAGGTGCCCTCAACAACATCAACAACTTGCATTTACGATAACACACTTCACGCGGGGTAGTGCCCCAAAGTGCTTCACAATGGTGGAGTCTGACAATTCCTTTGAGTTGAGATGTTAAAGTATCCCATGGCCCTAAGCAAAGAGTTTCTTCTGGTATCAGATGCAATTAGTGATTGACTTCACAGTGGTTTGTGAGGACACTGTTCTACCAAATTGGCCATCGCATTTGACTTACAAGTACAGTATAGCACTTTGGGACGTCCTCATGTCAGCACTTTGGGACATCCTCATGATGCAAAAGGCAGTGCATTAAAATCAAAGATGATTATTATTTGCTTATTACTCAAACAGCCACCGGTGTTCATTGAAGCTTGGAGAACCGGCGATCGAGCATTCAACTAAACAACAAAATTACATTTGTGTAGCGCCTTTCACGTCGAGAGAACGTCCTGGACAGTTAAGTGTCCCGGACCCGACCTGGGGGTCGGGATCGTGGAGGGCGGGGGAAGAGTGACCGAAGGCACGGTCGAAGAGGAGGGTCTTGAGACCGGTCTTGAAGGAGGCGAGGGCGGGGAGGGGGCGAGGCGGAGGGACCATGGGATGGAAAGTGGCTGAAGGCCACCCCCACCAATGGTGGGGCGGGCGGGGGATTATTATTATTATTGTTATCATCATAACTCCCTGTAACACTTGGCCTCTATTATCCGTCTCCTTTACCTTCCTGACTTCATCCAGAACAATTGCAAACGCCTTGTTATCCATGTTGTTTGCGGGTTGGATTGGAGGGGAGAGAGAGAGAGAGAGAGAGAGTTAATGTCGGTTTCGGGCTCCTCTTGGGGATGGATTACGGTGGCGTCGAGCTTTCCTCTCCCCCCGCGGGGTTCGGGTTGGTATCTGTCACAAAGAGAGCCTCACGAACACACTCCACGACGGAGGCCTCCCTCCCTCCTTCCTTCCTTCCTTCCTCCCCGCGGCCGACAGCGGGCCCTGCACGCCACCCCCTCCTTCTCCTCCAGCCGACGCCGCTCTAACGGGGGGCGGGAAACCGCCGGCTAACGGAAATAACGTCATCCAGTTCAAAAACCAGGCGCTCGAGCCCAGCTCGCGACCGTCAGCAAACCGGTCGCTCGGACCTCCGCGGGCGCAGGGGCTGGGCCTGAACTACCCATCGCCGCGCACTGATGACGTCCCGGTTCGTTTTCCTCCGCTTCTCACCCGCTGGGTTCCCGTCCGCGCAACGGTTATGTTTTTAAAACTCGTGATTTTCGACGGCCGTTCCTCGGCTTCGGGAGTGGGGTCGGGTTTCCTGAAACCACCCCTCCCTCTCAGCTGCTTCCTCTCAGGCAGTGATGAAGACACCCCCCTGGGTAGGTGCCGGACGAGCGGTTCGTGCGGATGAAGCGGGCGGTGAAGATCAGCTGTTTGTTGGCGATGACGGCCCTCTTTTTAAGCGTCTGGATCCTGTCCTTCGCGCGATACGCCAAACAGGTGATAATCATCATCATCATCCTCCTCCTCCGAATAGTCCTTGCATTTGATGCAGCGCCTCACCTCGTCGTCGAGACGTCTCAAAGCGCTTCACGGGATATACCGTTAAGCAGAAGCTCACTTTCAAAGCCCTCCATGGTCTTGCTCCCCCCCCCCCTCCCTCCCCCCTCACACACCTCTCCGGCCTCGTAACCCCATATCAGACTGTCCCGCTCCCTCCGCTCCGCAGACACCATTGGCGGTCAGGCGTTCAGCATCTCTTCCCCCAACCCTCTGGGACTCTGTCCCGCGACCCCTCCGCCCCACTCCCTCTCTTGGCTCTTTCAAATCCTGTTGAAAGACCTCACTCTTTGACTGCGCCTTCGACCACCCTCCCACCTCCACTCCCTGCCCCCCCCCCCCCCCCCATCGCCCCCGACCCCAACCCCAGTCGAGACCATAAACCCCCTGACTGTCCAGCGCCCTGGGACGTTTTTCCAACATGAAGGGCGCTCTACACGTGTAATTTGTTGTTGTTGTAAAGTGGATTGACCGTCTGTTTTTGGGGGGGGGGGGGGTGAAAGGTAAAGCAGGCCTTTCGCCGTGATTATTGTTATTGAGGCCTCTGGCCATTACAGCCCCCCAACCTCGGGAGCTCAGTGCCTCCGCCTCGCCTGCCCCCTCTTCACCTGTCTTCAGGTCCCCCGTTCACATTTCAATCGCATCTATGCTCGCCTCACGCTCATTCCTTGCTCCCTTTCACTTCCCGACTCTTCCCTTCACAAGCTGCAGAAGCTCCTTGACCCGATCGTCCCCACCCTCGCCCGGCTTCACGGGGCTCCCTGTTCCCCAGAGGATCGAGTTCAAGATCCTCATCCTCGCCTTCAAAGCCCTCCACAGCCTTGTTGCTCCCTACCTATGTGACCCACTAACACCTTATCAACCTTCCTGTTCCTTCCCCTCAGGGGGCACGTGCCTTCTCCATATCTCCAGCCCTGCCCACCTCACCTCCTTTGGAGAAGTTGTTTTAATATTGTTCCTTTATCTATCAGGTGTTTGCTGGAGTTGCGTTAGAGTCACATGCCCTGACTGTGAAAAGTTTCTACAAACTGGATGCAGGATGGCCCAAGTTTCCTGAATACTTCACAGGTCAAGTATTTGGTGTTGCCGTGAATCCAGTAGCTGGAATTGTTTATGTGGCTCAGGTAAGTCAAATATTTGACTATTTGTGCCATCAGCATGCTTGAAATTATTTAATTCTTGAATTCGTCATTTTTTTTAATTCTCCCCAAATTTCTTCTGCCTCTTTATGTCTCCTGTCTTTTTGCATATTGTGAGTGATTCAAAGGGAAAATCACTGATCATAGGCTTGTAGCTGCCACTCCTGATCAGACTGCAAGAAAATAGCCGAGAGTAGTCAATCGTATCCCTTCCTGTGAGAATGCTATTGGCCTCTGCTTTTGCAGAAATATGCAGTTTGGTAAATTAGACACAAATGTCTTTCCACAGCAGAGCATTTTGAATCACCAAAAATTGTATTGCAATTTATTTCATTCCAGAAAAAAGAACATTTTTTTAAAAAGTAGTGGAGTCTGCTCACGCCACTTCTTTAAATTATTTAGAGGAAGGTGCGGTTAAAGCTGTGATGGAAACTATAGTTTAGTAAGCACTGTGAGCCTTCCTGCGGAATATTTCAATGAATGAGTAGTAAATGTATGGAACAGGCTCCCTAGGGAGATGGTGGAAGCAGAAAGTATTGATTCTTTCAAAAGCAAATTAGATAGATTTCTTTTAGGAAATAATATGATGGGACACATTATATACACAGTGAGACATGGCAGTTGCATGTGATTGCCAGGATAGTGGAAGGCGAACTGGATGGATCTTGGTCTTCTTTCGTCTAGCAATTCTTATGATTTTCTGTTCTTATGCTGAAATTACTTTCTGACAATTATATGTAATGGGAACTGCCAGATAATATTTGGAATGAAAACGGAATTCATAGCAGTTCCTTTTTTTGGGGTTCTAGGTGCAAAGGTGTGAAATACTGCACCACAGTGATTTTTTTTAAATGTTGTAAAGTTCTCTGAAAATTACAAGGAAATGGCAGGATTATTTTTACTTGTTACAGAGAGGAGATTCTATTCCAAAAGTTCTGATGTTCACAGAGGATGGATACTTCCTGCATTCGTGGAACACCACAACCATCGAGATGCCACATGGGATATTTGTAGCCAATGCTTCATCACCATATTCATCTGTGTGGGTAACGGATGTTGGAAATGGTATAATTGATATAACAATCTAGAGTTTCAGATTTTTGAACGGCAAATCAGTTTATTAAAAAAAACAACACTTTTTCTCGTTTGTCTCGTAAGAATTTTATTCAGTCTAGAAGTAGCGATGTATTAGTTTAATATGCAGCATTTCTTGATGCGATTTCTTGATAAGGAATCCAAGGCGTGCAGATGAGGTTCCCTTTTAGTAATCAGATGTATATCATAGAATATTACAGCATAGAAAGAGGCCATTCGGCCCGTGGTGCCTGTGCCGGCTATTTGGAAGAGCTATCCAATCAGTTCCACTCCATTCTTATCACACAGACCTGCAGATTAGTGTCTATTATATATAATAATGTATAGCACATTTCACATCAGGAGACACCTCAAAGTGGTTCACAGGATTTTACTGTACAGTGTAGTTACCGTTTATTTTGTAGGTGAGCGCTTTACTAAATCTTTAACGCACTTGACTGAATCAGAGTGATGTTACAACAGAAAGTACATCTCTTATGCACTATTCAATCGCATTCACTCACATAGAAAGTGTAAACTCTTTGCACCTGCCTGTGTCTTCTATTTATAGCACATGCAACAACTAGAATTATGAAATTATGTTTGTATGATATGAACACACATAATTATATAAACGTATTTAGGAAAACAAGATCATGAGGAACCCATTCAGCCCATCGAGCCTGATCCACGATTTGATTACTCTGTCATCACGGCTATGTTTTGCTAAAAATGATTATATCTTAATTTCAAAAATGTGCATCAATTTATATAATGCCTCTTTGTAGCTTTTGTTTTAGACCCCATTATTTATCACCTTGTGAAAAAATAAACGTGGTTGTAATTCCAGCAATGTAACCCAGTTAGTAGCCCATACCAATGCTCAAATTCATCATTGCTTTTCAATGATTTTCGTCTCAGCTCTCCATTATGTTGACTTCTTATTTTGCTCCTGCATTCCAGGGAAGTACGGACACACTGTGAAGCAATACACTTACTCTGGAAAACTTCTTCAAATCCTGGGGACGCCAGGAATTCCTGGCTCTGACCTGTACCCCTTGCAGTTTGATCAGCCGGCAGAGGTGTTTGTCGACTCCAAAGGCGATATATATATTGTGGATGGAGATGGAGGGTTGAACAACAGGCTCGTCAAACTATCACAAGGTCATTACTTATGTTAATCCCAGTAAGCATTTGTTGCTTTTTCAAAGCATTGCCAGATTGGATGTGATGGTACTCACCTCTGGTTAAGAAGGTTTGGGTTCAAACCATGTGTTGGTCCCCGAGTTCAAGGTCTATGTTGACACGCCGGCAAAATACTGGGATGCTGCCAAAAGCAGGTGCACTATTTTACCTGATTAATTTGTTACAATGCAAATTTGCATTTATACCACCCCTTCATGTCAGCAAGATGTCCTTAATAATCCGTTGTTAGCACCTGAAATGGGGAGTGAGAGCTAAGGGGAGGGTGGAAGGGAAAGATGTCCGAAAGCGCAGTCAAAGAAGTAATAGGCTTTGTTCCATGTTGGAAATGCATAACTAAAGAAAATACTAGAGAACTAAAGAAAGGCCTTGTCTTTTTCATCCTCTTATATGTTGCAGCCTTGGAGGTAGTCTGGGTCAGAGGAGAAAAAGGATCTGGTCCTTCTCAGTTCTACATTCCACACAGTGTAACTGTCGATGCTGAAGAAAGGGTAAGCTTTGCCGGAGGTCTGTAATGCTAATAAAATGTGCTTTGAAAGATGAGCTTTTTTAGCACTATCAGTGTTGTGCCAATTGGCATTTATGAAAAAGATGTGATTGATGAGTGTTTAATGAATGACCGATTTTATGATTGGTTGAAGAAAATGGTAGATTCATTATGCTAAATGTAAAATGTACTGCTAAATTTACCCCAATCTATTTCATAGACTTGAACAATCCATATCTGTTTGTTTATAATTATGGAAACTGAGTGTTACATCTGTGCACTTATCTCTTGAACCTGGCTTCTATCCCAAGCTAATTGATGGGATGAAATCTCTGCAACTCTCTCATATAAAAGGTTTGCGTGAAACATACTTGGGTAATCTTAGCACAATCCTTAGGGTCAACCTATATTAGAAAGCCACTCCTAAACTGGAACAGAGACCAGGAGAACAGTTTAGATTAGGTATATTATTGGGCTGGAGATAAGTATCTTTACTTAGCATACAATATTCCTACAGATGACCCAGGCTATTGATGGCTGGAAAATGGAACATTCTCAGCACTTATCACTCAGTGCTAGGTCAGTGAAATGAGTATTCAACAATACATTAAATTATTTGCTTCTCTATTGTAGGTTAATCTTGGATTGAGGAAGAAAAATCTGACATTGCCTTGAAGAAGAATGTGCAGCAGTACATCTCCAGCTAGGACCACCTTACTGATTGGGCTATGGCTTGCCTATGTCTCCAGGTCTCACATAGGAGCCAAACAGGGACATGTCTGGCTTCACTAAACTTGTCTCCTCAAAGCTAGTTCAACAGCAGGGAAAACCCACTCACCTCACCTGACCCAAGGGAAGAATTTATTTTAGAATAGTAACTTGCTGTTAGCTAATTAGAGAGCAATGTTGATTGTAGTTATTGAGAAGTACAAACCATAGGCTGTCCAAGAGTTCCATTCCAAATGGTGGCTTCACTTGGGAGATAAAGTGAGCAGTAAAATTCAAGAGATAATTGTGAAGAAAATGTGTAAATGGTTCTGTCTGTAATTTCATTATTGTGTGATTGTAGGTTTGGGTGGCTGACCGGGGGAATAAGCGTATTCAGGCTTTCGAGGCAGCCTCGGGACAATGGATAGGATCGTGGGACAGCTGCTTCACAGATGACGCTCCTTACTCTGTTCGGTGAGCTGATAAGTTAGGTCAATTCCTTTAACGTGTTCAGTGAAATCCATGGTATAACATTGCCTGCTCTTTTAGATTAATCTTTATAAAAACTTATTTTCTTAGCTCTTAGGTGCTAGTTCTCATTCTGAGTTAAGTTTCAGAAGGCTCCCCACACCTTGTCTTCCTTGGGCAAGTTTCCTTACTCCACACGCCTAATAATAATCCCTCCAAAACAAAACAATAATAAATTAGTCATTTTCAATCCACGACTGTTTGTGGGACACTGCTGTGTGCAATTGGCTGCCGCATTTCGCACACAAATATACTGTCAATTCACTTAACATCATATTCTATGAAGCGCTTTGAGACATCAAATGATGTGATAAGGCTCTATATCAAATGCAAAGATTATTATTATCTGTGTGTAAGCAACTGGCCTTGATTTTCTATCTTCCCTTGTCATTTTTATTTCTACCATGAATATAATAATAATCCTCGCACTTGATATAGCATCTTATCACATCTTCGAGACGTCTCAAAGCATTTCACAGAACATACTGTAAAGTGAAATTACTGAATATTTTCTGAGCAAAACGAGGCAGTCAATTGTGTACAGCAGTGTGCCACAAACAATCACGGATTGAGTGACCAAATTATTATTTTTGTAACAAAAATAATTAAAGGGATTATTACCCCCGGAAAAGCCAATCGACTACATGTGAAGTAAGGAAACTTGCCCAACGTTTCTCCCTGCCCGGCAATCGAACCCAGGTCCTCTCGCTTTCGAGGCGAGTACTCTTAAACAGTAAGCTACATGACCCCTTTGAAAGTACCTTTGCTGAAAGATTGTAAGACTTGTAACTTGTTTAAAAGTTTGTGATTTCGGATTCTGTCACATAGCTCCCACTTTCCTGGTGAAGCATAATTTCCGCACATTTGAAATAAATAGCTTGAATTTTATAGCACTTTCCTAAATGCTTTACAGAATTACTGTTAAGTGTGGGTTATTATATCCTGTAAGATTTCACAAAGAGCCATGAATGACAAGTTAATCCAGGGAATTGTTGGCCAGGAAATCAGCCTGGACTACGAGCTCAAGTTCCAATGTTGAACTTGAGCCCAGAATGTCATAGAACACAAGCTTAGGAAGATGATATGTTTTAGACTACTAATAGTTTTAGCCAATTTGTGTTCAGTTATCTTCACAGAAAGTCATGCCCAAATCAATTCATTCTCTTTACATGAGTTCTTTCCTCTTTCACTCAATAGGCTGACATCCGATAACAAGTACTTCATCGTGGCTCAGCTGAACATCAACAGGGTGTCTTTTTTGACTGCCCCACAAGTTGGAGACATTGGGAAGTGCCACATAGTGGATGCCATTCAAATGGCAGATGACGTCAAACCGCATTTGGTGGGAGTGAATTCAAAAACTGCATCCATTTATGTAGCAGAAATTGGTGCTCAGCAAGCTCAAAAATTTGTACCGTTCAACTGAAACTGCTCTTCCTTCTATGACAGGGTAACAATTTAAGCGTCTGTGTACTGCTGCTCAAATTTCAGTTTCTAACATTTGCACTGAGCAGTTTACAATAATAATATGGATGATGTGATCCCAGTGCAGAGAATCTGAAACATTTTGGTCTCCGTCCTGTTGATGGTAAAGCTAAAGGTTGTTGAGCATTATGATTCAGGGGTGAAACAATGCTCATTGGGAAAAAAATAGCCAAAACATCAGCCAATCGTACCCTCCAACTCTTCTGATCCCAACCCGCTACTGTCCAACTCCTTGGGATGTACTCCTGACATGAAAGGCGCTATACAAATTTATGTGTTGTTATTTGTGCTTAGTGATAACTTGATTACATAGCAAGGATTATTAAATTTGGCTTCCCTGTTTATGTGAGTTCTTCACCAACATTTCTATCCAGTTTCTGTGACAATGGATTTTTCATTTCTTGATCTGTCATTTTGCGTCATATTATGTAATTGCCCGCACTCTTCTCTCCAAATCAGGCAGAAATGTTTACTCGGAGATATCCACTGCCTGAAAGGGTGGTAGAAGCAGATTCGATAGCTTTTAAAAGGGAATTGGATCGGTATTTAAAAAGGCAACGTTTGCAAGGCTATGGGGTAAGAGCATGGCAGTGGGACTAGTTCATAGCTCTTTCAAAAGGCACAATGAGCCAAATGGCCTCCTTGTGTGCTGCAAGATTCTAAATGTTTAAGCAACCCCACTTTGTGAGACTTGGGAACATAGAAAACATGAACCGGAGGCCATTCAGCCATGAAGTCTATTCTATTAGTTTCTTAAATTTTGGCAGATCTTCTAATCGCGTCCTTTCACCACACCCCTTAATACCTCTACGACCCAAGTATCTGTCTTGCTCTCATTTTAATAATCCTTGCATTTCATGTAGCGCCTTTCAGACAATCTTAAAGCTCGTAACAGGATTTACTGTAAAGTGTCGTGACTGTATATTTTGTTGGTAAACCACAGAATTGGGTCAGAAATCTGCACTGTGGAACAGCCTGGATTTTTAATGATTCCCTCTTAGTACCTCTGTGATGTCTAGCTTTAGTGGTAGCTTGTTTGTGGGCTGCTTTAAAATGATGACAAGTTTACTGTTTGTTTTTTAATATTATGTGGAGAATCCAGGGATAAATGGAGTAACCTTTGATTGTATTGAAATACTGTATGTGTTTTATCATTTTCTGTTGATATCTTAATATGAATAGACCTTACAAAGAGCTTTCCTGTAGATATATCTCTGACTCAAAATGTGCCAGTGTAATGTTTGTTTCGTGAAAACTGGATGTATTGATTGTGATTCTAGAAGATGATTATTATGGAAGAAAAGTATTATTCCTTTGTGCTGATTGTAATATTATACCAATTGTATTTGTAAAAATTAAAATCTATCCACAGGCTCGTGTTGTGTCGGCTATTAAAGGTTGTGTGTGACAGTCCACTCTATTGCTGCAAAGGATCTCTCTATTAAAGGAGGCTCCAAATGATTTTTCTCAAACTGGAATCCATAGGAATAGTGTTACAATTTGATTATAATAATTCTTTGATACAGCACCTTACCATGTCATTGAGACATCTCAAAATGCTTCACAAAAATATTGTAAATGGATTGACTGTATTTTGGGGGTGAAACACGGCAGCCAATTACACAGTAGTGTCCCATAAACATAGAATTATAAGGCATAGAAGGAGGCTATTCGGCCCATCGTGTCTGCCGGCTCTTTGAAAAGAACTTCTGAATCAATCCACTCCGCTCTCTCTCCATTGCCCCGCAAACTTGTCTTCCCCAAGTAATTTTCTACTATCTTAAAAGTTGTTATCGAATTGGCTTCTACCATCCTTTCAGCCAATGCATTCCAGACTCGAATAACTCGTCGTAGATTGAGTGACAACTTTTTTTGAGGGATTATTACCCCTGGAAAGTGATCCGCCAACCGACTAACAACTGGACTCCTATTTACTACTAGGTAAACAGGCATGTGGAGCATGGAAACATGCCTAAGGTTTTGATACATCCGGGAATCAAACCCGGGTCCTCTCGCTTGCGAGACAAGCCCGCTAACCACTATTTGGGACTCCATTTTTTATCAAATCATTTTATTCCAGCATAATTGAAACTAAGTATCAGTTTGGGTAAAAATCAATACTTTATAATGCAACAAGGAGAGATAGAAAGGCAATTGCAGGGCAAATACCGGGAAGCTTTACTTGGAGGGTAATGAGCAACTGAAACAGGTAGCCAGAAAAGGACGCTAGATTCATTTAAAAAGCAGCTGATGGTGTGCTGGGGGGATGTTAAGGTAGGTGATCTGGAAGGATCAGATTCATTCCTCATCCAAACTGACCTTGTGAATTTTAAACAATCCAATTTGAAAGACAAATAACCTGACTTCCTCACTGTGAGTAATAGACAACTTCCAGTTTTGCCATTCACGGGCCTGACTGTCAAACCCATCCGCCTTTACATTAATATTTCCATTCCTTGTGTGTCCTTAACATGAAATGACCAGCCTCCTCCCACCATCCACTGAAATCATGCTGCGACAATGAGCTGTTTGTAATTTTCTCCTCTTAAAGGAAATCAACTTCTCCAATTGCAAATAGTTTACCAGATTTCAATTTTTAAAGGATTTTTTGTCAAAAATAAAATAAAATTTTAATTTTGTTTGCCCTGACTATTACATTGGAACTAAGTTCCAAAGTAGATGCAGATAACAATTGCTATACCTTCACAGGCCCATTCACATGTGCCTATTGCAGCTTTAAGCCGTAAGAACATTGGAAAATCAGGTACTACTGAGGCAGAGTATTGCCATTGAAAAATTTATTGAGAACCCAAAAATTCTCTTGACCTCAGTTCCCAGTCTGTGTAATTCTGCAGTTTCACTTCCCTTCCTGCAGAGGACAGCAAAATACGATAGATCTAGACCAACATGTTTCTAAAGACAAAATTACAGTAGTAATTCAGTATAAGCTGCATGTGGACTAATTCATTAAGATACATATTAATGTACAAACTCTTCAAGACTGTGCCAAAAATTTTGCTTTCGTGCAATGCATAGATTTAGAATATATGGCAAAAAAATTGCTTTCAATACGTCTCTGAAAGTTTTACCCACGTACGTAAAAGGACCTCATATAGGGCGAAGGAGTGATGTAGCTCCACATCTTTAGGTCCTCAGGAACAATGAGCTTGAGGTGTAGAACGTGCTGAGTTTTGATTCCAACATAAGGTAAAGTGGGTATTCAAGAAGAATGAGATCAGACGGGGTGAAGGACCCTCTTCATCTGAACCTCGTGATGAGATTTGTTGCGGAAGCTGCTCATTGCAGTTCCGAATCGCAAATAGTGAGAGTAATCCTGAGAGTAACCAGAAGAATGTCACACTGACCCACAGAAAAATCCGCTCCAACCTAATCTACTGCATGATCCCAGCGTTTTCATGACTCATTTCTGCTATCCAGCAGGAGTTACAATAAGCGAATCCAACTACCAATCTCCCATTGTTACACTTATATTTTATGACCGCTGAGTGCGTGTTGGGGTACTGCTGGAGTAATCTATGCCCCATAGCTTGCCATTGAAAACACTATCTAGCAAGCTTTCCCTCTGCTTATCCAGCAAGGACCACCCTACCCATTGGGACTTTGGCTTGCAGGGTTACTGGGAGCTGAGCTGAGCGGGAAGAATCCCTGCCCCCAGTGACTGGTCTGCTCTTCCGGGTCCTCCCGATTAGCCAGGCTGGATAGGCTGTCCTCAACAGTGCTCTGGATTACCACCTGGCTCAGCAACTGAATTACAACCACAACAACTTGCATTTATATAGCGCCCTTCACGCAGAGTAGCGTGTCGGGGCACTTAACAGGGTGGACCAAGAACGCCACAGAGGATGGGCTCAATTCTGACATTCTATTGCGAAATATATGTCACCTTGGGGGCAGGGATTCTTCCCACTCAGTTCAGCTCCAAGCTGACCCCACTTATCTCACCCTAAGCAGGATATTGACTAATTGGTGACTAGTACGCTTTTGACAATCAAATGCTGCAGTAAATGCAATGGTCAGTGCTGTGCACATATGGGGAACAAAAATAAAAGATTGTGAAGAGCTGAATCCAGCAGCAGGTATCTTTATTATAGAATTTAGCGTACGTGACCAGTGAATACAGCACACTTTCTGTGATCATCAAGCATGCAGAATAATGAATTGTGATTCCATCCGTATTATGATTCTTGTCATGGTTAATTGTCCACGGAATAGCAAGTTGGTATCCACTTGTAAAATATTCATAATTCAATACCTTTTATAATCTACCTACTTATTCATTGTTAATGAATTCTGATGAATCTATTGTGTTTGATGTGAATAGTCTGGAATCTAGACACTGAAGGAACTGGGCTTGATGAACCTGCTTCGAGGATAAATCAACACCTTTTCTCTGCACTCTCAAATTATAGCAACTGCTTAATTTTTATAATAGGCATCTATTGTGTTTTTAATAATAGTTTTTGCCTGACAGCTGAGCCATTTCACACTCATTTTCCATATGAATATTTTATCGTTCTGGATTTAATGTTAATAATAATCCTTGCTTTTGGTATAGTGCCTTATCACATTATGGAGATTTTTCATATCCCTTCACAGGATATATTGTAAAGATAATTGACTGTGTATTTATAGTGCTATAAGTTCCAATTTAAAACTTGATAATTTCTTATATTTTCTCCTAGAGGCATTTTCCTATCCAAAGAAGGTGCTAATGGCTCTATGTTAAATTTAAGAGGACAAGAGTGTACATTTTGACTTGTGACAATATTATTTTTATAATCTGGCATTGGAAATATCCCGTGAAGTCTTTGCAATCACTGTGTGTTTAAGATGCAGTTCCCTGGGAACCTGTAAATGGCATTCTAAAGGTTAATTGAAGCGCTCTATGTATCTTGACATTTTGGAATATTAATTTTCAGCATTTTAGCGGGGCCATTGCAAAGCCTTGCCAAAGACAGCAGGTGACTGATGGTCAAAATCAGCTGAAATGAATGATAAATTGATGCTATTTAATGATGGTTAGCTATCCTTGTTGCCAACGTATGATAAATGATGCTTGTTGGATTGGTTAATGTGTTATCACAGCATTTTATTGTGAGCATTGTCAGGCTGAGTAACGTGCAGCAGGACTAACTTTGACAGAATGTGTGACAATTCGGCAGCCCTCTTTACTGATCACTTTTGGTGGCTGTATTCTTATTAGCGTTATAGTCTTCAGTTCATTGATGGGTTCATCTGTCTGTCCTTGAATCTGTCCTCTGCTCATCTGTGTAACTCTTTACATATATGAATCCAATAAACAGATGGCTTTGTGAAAGTGCCATTTGTGTTAGAGTGGAAAGCTTCAGGTGGCAACTAGACTTACTGTACTGAAAGGTCCCTCAAAAGCCAAAGATGCATTACATTTATTCATGCTGTGTTTTTTCTTTCGGCCAGCCGGGTGTCTGACACATGTGTCAACCCATCACCATGCTTAAAGAGTATCCAAAACAGACTGAGAGTTCCACAAA